GAGCCAATAAATGCAGAGGACAGCGCTCGCGTGTGCCGCTTTCCTGGGCGCACCGGGGGGTGGTGGGGCTGACGGGCACCCACGCTTGATCACCGCAGCGGGGCCCCACGTCACCTGGCACCACGGGGCACGCTCGCTTGCTCAAGAGAGGCTGCAACTAGGTTTAGACAAACTACAAAAGTGGGCAGACGAGGATAGGATGGGGTTCAACGCAGGCAAGTGCAGGGCGCTGCACCGTGGGAGAAGGAGTCCACAGCACACGTACAGGCTGGGGAGTTCCCCTCTCGAAAGCGCAGAGGCGGAAAGGGATCTCGGAGTCGTTATCGACTCCAAGATGAACATGAGCTGCTGCTGCCAGACCGCAGCCAGCAAAGCCAGCCGGACCTCGTCATGCATCCAAAGATGCATCTCAAGCTGGGCCAGAGAGGTGATCCTCCCCCTCTCTGTGACTTTGGTCAGACCGCAGTTGGAGTAGTGCGTCCAGTACTGGGCGCCGCACTTCGAGAGGGATGTGTCCAGCCTGGAGAGGTTCAGAGGAGGGCCACCCGCTTGGTGGGAGGGCAGCAGGACAGGCCCTACAAGGAGAGACTGAAGGACCTGAACCTGTTCAGCCTCAGCAAGAGGAGGTTGGGGGGGACCTGGTGGCTGCCTACAAGCTCCTCAGGGGAGATCAACAGCAAATAGGCAGAGCCCTTTTCTCCCAGCACCACCTGGGGTGATGAGGAGCAATGGTCATAAGCTGATGGAGAATAGGTTTAGGTTGGAGATCCAGAAGGCAATATTTCACAGGCAAATTCAAGAGGAGGTTGGACGATCACCTGTCTGGGGTCTTGTGAACCCAGCATCCATTCCTGCCTGTGGCAGGGGCTCAGGCGAGGTGATGTGTTCAGGTCCCTCCTGCCCCGAGCTACTACGAAACGTGGAGGCAACATCCACCCCCTGCACTACCAGGGTTTGCAGCTGTTGCCAGAGGTGCAGGGGCGGGGCGGGGCGGGGCGGGGCGTGGCCCACCCCACCCAGCGTGACCTCCGGACTCCCTGCTTCCTCCCCGCCGCCAGATAAGGCGCAGCAGCCGGCTGGGTGGGTCCAGCCTCTTTATTACCAAGGAAGGCGCCAACCACGGCGGCAACGCCCGGGCAGTGCCAGGCTGCCCGGGGAGGGGCTCCAGCCCGCACGCCTGGGTCCTGCGCTAATGGCTCTTCTTCTCCTTCTTGTCCTTTTTGGGCTTCTTGTCCTTGTTCAGCTTCTTCTCCTTCTTCTTGTGCTCGTGGCCGGGAGCGCGGGGCTGGGGCGAGAGCGGGCGGTGAGGGGGCGCACGGAGGCCCCGGGCCCCGGCAGTGAGGAAGGGGCTGGGGGGCCCGTGCCAGGGGGGCCGGGGCTTCGGGCGTG